GTTTTACTGATAACAGCAGATATATATTTTTTAGTTATTACATAAAAAAACACTATCAAAGTAAAAACTAAAAAAAAGGTTTGACTAAACTTTACTATACACACATAGGGAAAGAATTAGCAATTCGTTACCCACTGACAAAGTATTTTACTAAAAAAAAAAATAAATAAAATAAAATAAAAATAGGCTCGATTAGTTAAAAAAAAAAAAAAATACAAGAATAAGAAAAATAACGAAATTTTTAGGAGAATCTCGGAATTAAGTGGCTTTGGGGAAAAGAACTTGTCGGAGTTATCTCTTCCTTAATTTCCTAATTGTCGCTAGGGATCGCTCTCCCTACAATATAAATACTGGGCAATTTATTTCCTCGTTCTCTTTCTGCTTTGCATTTCAGTGGACACATTTAAAAATGTGATCTCTCGTAGAGATCTGCGTTTTTGCCCACTTGTGGGGAAACGCCATGAAACACACACATACGTACGTACGAACATTCACCAAAATACAAACTCTTTAAGTCCACACACAAACATAAATGTTGATGTCTTTGTCACTTGGAAATTTGTTGTTTAATACATATATTTGTTGACGTTCTTCTAGCAGGTATAAACACCACGTGTTCCTAATTTAACAACACGTAAACACACGGGTCCGCTACACACGCAGATTTTGCGGTGAATAACTACGTAATCGACTACTATTATACTTCCTTTTCATAGAGTTTTTACGTCTATCTTTGTTTTTCTGGTGTTTTATTTAATCAAACAATAATAATGCCACTAAGACCCAAGGGAGACTACTGGAAGTGAAAGAGAATGAGATGATTTAGAAGGAACCAGAAACCCAATTTAAAACAGGAAACAATGGATAAACATCTACTTCTGTTCAAAAGGTGTGTGGACCGGGCGATAGGGGGAAATATCTCCTATTGAGGAGAAATTAAATAATTAGCAAATAAAATTTCAGACTTCAGGCGGAGACGTTTGAAGTATACAGTTGAAACAGACTTTAGAAGGAACCGGAAACCCAGTCCTAAACAAGGGGAAAATCTCTATCCTAGTTCAAAAGATCACGGAAGAGTATGAACCGGACAATAGGTGAAACTGCCTAACAACTAGACCATCTCATATTACACCGTTGTTTTGTTCTGTAATTTCAACACAAACTTACCTCGCAAAAGATTTTACTATTCAATTAATATTTTGAGATTACTTATCCTAAGTTTCCTCTCCACGATTTTTTGGGTACTTTGTTTGTCCAATAAAGTTAGCTTCCATATCCTTTTCTCGCTTCTATATCTTGTGTCTCTTCAGGGCATATGAGATGATAGTTCTCCACAATATTGTGTCCTTTGTAGCTCCATAAATTTTGTCTTTTTTGTAAACTCTCCGAAACACTGTTCCGCCTTTCATTTACACATGCTCATTATTTGTTATGAATTGCTTTCCTCTGTGCCTCTTGCCTTCAATCTGTCCTGTGAGTATCAGATTTTCCAAGCCCTCTTTCCTCATTATGTATCCTAGAAATTTCAACTGCCACTTCTTGATGTTAAGCATAAGTTTGCTTTTTTTTTCCATTTTTCTAAATGTTGTGCCTAAATAAATTTCGTGAATATGAAATTTTTACTGCTACATTTATGAATTTGTTAAATGAATTATCATTTTATTTGTTATTTTATAATATTTATAAAGAAAATATTATAATATACTAGAAGCATGGCCCGGCGTTGCCCGTGTTTGATTCAAAAATCGTACGACTCATACAGCACTGCACGCACTAACCTGTTTCTTCCGGCGCATAGTGTGACCTTAAATTAATCTGCATTTAGGAAATACCCAACCGGAAAAAACATTTTTAAGGGTTGACCGATTGTCCATTTTCACTCTGTTTGGAGTGGGGCGCTCAGAGTTGAAACTTCACATGATGACTCCCAATGGCCTCCTCATAAATCCGATCGGTTTTCGCTAAAAACCGACATGCGGTTCAGGTGCAATCTGGGCGTATCGGTTTTGGGGTTTTATCGATTCTCCGCGCTGTTTAGGGGTCCGTGGTCATGAAACTTCTGGACAACACTTCTAAAGGTAGACTCTAAGAGGGTGTCAAATTTGGTTGAAATGCAATAATTCCTTCTGTAAGCAGATTTTTTCGATTATCGATTTTTTCGGAACCTGAGTCCTAACTGAAAAATTGGGCTCCGTCATGTCCTTAAGGCAGCCATTTGCAAACTTGTGGTGAAAACTGCATAGAAATCGGGTGAGAAATGCGGCCTGGGCGAGGTAACAACACCCACGACAGACACACAGACAGACAACATTATCCATTTTTTCGGAACCTGAGTCTGAACTGAAAAATCGGGCTCCGTCATGTCCTTAAGGCAGCCATTTGCAAATTTGTGGTGAAAACCGCATCGAAATCGGGTGAGAAATGCGGCCTGGGCGAGGTAACAACGCCTACGACAGACACACAGACAGACAACATAAGAAATATAGATAGTAGATTATTCTGCAGGATGTCCCTAATAGGCAAAAAATGGACACATAGACAAAAATGTATATTTTCAAGAAATAAAATTGTATTGAATTGGAATATTAAATAACATCTTCAATATGATTTTCTTCAGTTGTGATGCGAAGGTTATGGGCTTTGCAAGATTCACGTGAATTCGATGCAATAATTCGACATTGCCATTTTCATTGAGTACCTTCCCCTACACACAACACACAAGTACCTATTTTTTTCTTTTAGTTTTATAAAGAAGACTTCCTGATATCATTTCAGTAAAAAAAAAATTGTTAATATCAAATGAGAAAATAATTTTATTTCATTTATTTTCACAACTGCTGGACTATTTTGTACTAAAGTTCAACAAGGAAACAATTCTGAATTACCTTCCTTGCTGACAACCTTTTTCTCGTCAGAAGAGTAATATCATATAATAACTGTGTCTGCGGCTCTCTCGCTCGCTTCATCATTTTGCACGGCCATTACGCCCTGCCAATACCTCATAAATAATGGACTATTCCGTTTTGATCGGTCGAGAAGACAAAAGACATACCAGAGACACTACTTAGTTTCAGTGAAGAAAAGAAAGAAAGAAACATAGAAGAGTTTAACGTTTCCTGCCAATACCTCATAAATAATGGACTATTCCGTTTTGATCGGTCGAGAAGGCAAAAGACATATCACAGACTCTACTTGGTTTCAGCGAAGAAATTAAAGAAGGGATAAAAGTGTTTAACGTCTGTTTCAGTGAAATGGAGAAAGTTGTCAATTTCAAACCACGGATTAAAACTAATGATATCTAACCTCTTATCTATCATTCTTAATCAGTCAATCAATTTTATGATTTACAATACATCGATACAGGTGTCTTCTTTCTGTTGTTTAATTTTTTTGCGTGTCTGTATTTTCCTGTTTTTTAGTAAATACTGATTATTTGTAAATTAAATTAAAATCTGGCGGTAACATTTTCAATGTTTTTAAAAAAAATTGTATGATGATTGGGTGTTTATAATTTTTTATGGCAATTAGGTCAAAAAAAATATTGGAAGCAATCAACACTATCACTTCAAAAACTATATCAATTTTACCTTTTTTTGTTTTTTGTTCGTAGCAATTTCGTTATTTTAATAAATTTTCTTAAATTCAGAATAATTTTTTTAAAAATACCTTATTAGATGCCGTTAAATATTTTATGACATACACCTTTGTGCAAATTAATCGAAACAATCGCTTTAATTTCCTTTCTTTCACCATACTGTCAGTTTTAAACCCACTAGAGTGACAGGGTGTAATCGATTTCTAGTTTTTTCTCAGATTAGGTCATTTGCAGTGGTGTGCAGTAATATGAATCTATTTTCGAGGTGTAGAATGAAATTTGTTTGACCTTGAAAATATTACATCATCTATGATTGCATCAGATTTTTATCACGACCAGACACTATTGTCTCGACTGTCGATTAGTTGTCCTACGACTATTGTATGCGATGGACGTTACTCCAAGAAAGCGTACGAAAAAGTAACGCTGCACGAACACACTGGTAAGACTTACCAGTGAGCAAATCAAAGTACTGTAAACTGCTCCGGAAACTCTCCTGATTTAAAATCAATCGAGAATCTGTGGTCAGTCTACAAGGGAAGACATTGTGGAATGGACGTACGAAGTACTGACATGTGCACTGGGTCATGTTTCATTGGGAAAATACGAAAAAAAAAAAGTAAATAATAACGGAATTATTCGTTTTGTTTCAGTTAATTTGCACAAGGATGTAGGTGATCATAGCCCTCCATATCTTCCTGTATAATTAATTTGTACAAGGGTGTAAAACAGGAAAGAAAATAATAAAAAATAAGAGCAAAATATTGCTTCATTAGTTTTTTTTTCTTTTTATAATTCCTATGTAATATATAAAAAATTATTCATTCTACTGAATTTCATCAATGCTAATAGAATAAAAAATATCTTCACAAACTATTGGTTATATAAGATTAAAGATTAAGATGTATTTTTTTGTAGTTTATATTTATTGTACAACTTTTGATTTATCGTTTTATGTTATTGACTAACTTATTTCAATTGAGCTTGAATAATATATTAAATAATTTAAAGAAATGTAAAAAAAGAAAAGAATTTATCTAACAAGCTACGATATATATATTCATTGATGCATGTTTCATTAAATAATATAGACAAGTTTTGTCTATTTATTTTAAGTAAGTTCCTTTCATATTGTCTGATAAGCTTAATAAGATTATCATTGAAAGACGAAAGGAAATCACCATACTGATACATGTTTAAATCCAATCTAAGCTTTCGGCTTACATAAGACATTATCAAAGATGACAATTACTTTTCAATATATCAACCAATACACGGACGAAACAATAATGATAGTCTGTTTTTGCTGCATGAAAAATTTCAAAGCAACGACAAACTCGTGTATACGAGACACGGAAGCGAAAATCGCGTCGCAGCTCGTGACGTCACACATGACCAGGCGAGAGTGAAAACGAGAAGTATTAAGTATGGGAAAGAAATAAATAGACGAAACTTGTCTATATCATTTAATGAAACATGCATCAATGGAAAATTGCTGCCATATATATATATATATATATATATATATATATATATATATATATATATATATATATATTGGATTAATGCAAATATAAGCATGGTGACTTAGCTGAGATATATATATATATAGAGTCGACAGTCTGTTTCGTGCTAAACGCAATCGTCAGACGATCGTCTCTGAGTGCTGCCTTCAATGTCCACTTTTATATTTACATACGCTCTATCCCTGATATTGAGCACTTTAACCCATAAATATCGCATCCCTTAAAACTAGATTTTATGTGTGTGTGTGTGTGTGTAATTGAAAATATAATGTAATATAAACATAAAAATATTCAATAGAAAAATAGTTTGTTTTACAAAAATACGTTCTTCCCAAAAACAAAACTGCTTTCTATTAATCACCACAGAGATCCTTCCCTGCCCTCCATTAGAATGTCTGACGCTCAACTTCTCGAGAGCAACTCTCTGCGGCTGCTCGGTCTCACGTTGACTGCTGATCTGAGATGGAACAAATACATTGAGTCAATTGCTTCGTCCACCGCAAGGAAAGTTGGCTCCCTGTGCCGCGTCAGGAAATTTTTCTCCCCGGAATCGATCCTCCAGATCTACAAATCAACAATTCGCCCTTGCATGGAGTATTGCTGCCATATATGGTCTGGAGCCTCTTCTGTTTGCCTCGGGGTTCTTAATAGGCTCCAGAGGCGGATATGCAATGTGGTTGGATCTGCCCTGGCGTCTCGTCTACAGTCACTCTCTCATAGACGCGCCGTCGCCTCTCTCTGTCTGTTCTACAAATACTTTCATGGCAATTGCTCCGAGGAGCTGCATTCGCTGGTTCCCAGACGTCATGAATTCAAGCGCCCTACGAGGCTGGCATCCCGCTCTGACTCCTTCACTGTCGAAACTCCTAAATGTAGCCGTCTCTTCTACTACAATAGCTTCATGCCTCGCACCTCTCGCCTGTGGAACTCCCTTCCCTATTCCAGTTTCCCTGGGAGCTATAATCTCCAGCTATTCTAATGTAATGTCAATCGACATCTCCAGTTGCCTTGATATATCCACTACCCCTCTCCTCATCCTTTCTTCTATCACTCCTATCTGATCTTGCTCCAAATTTTCTGTAACCCCTTTCGTCCTAGTGGCTTCCCGCCTTCTTAGGGTGAAACGCTTAAAAAAAAAAAATTTTAAAAAAAGCAGCAGCAAAAGTTTATTAAATAAAACCCGCTGTCATCCATGAGAACAGATTCAATGTTAACTTGAATTCGGCTTCAAGTCTGCACCAGGTTGTTCTAGTTCGTTTTGGGAATCAATTCCAGTCTTGAAAGAATCCTTAAAATTGTGGTGCTGCTCGACGAAGGGCCTCGGAAATTCAAATCATAACTAAAAGGGCACATGTTCAGGTTGGGGTAACATGACTGTGAAAATCCTCGGCCAGCTACTCCTGAGATAGGTGGACCATATGGGACGAAGCAAAGTCCTGCTGGACGTCCTTCCTCTCTGATACAGGGTCTGACCACCGTGTCTTGTAGCTCGATGAAGGTGGTGCTATTGGTCTACACATCTCAGTTAGAATTTAAGCACGGCTCATCGATTCCAGTTTCGGCGCCGATAACCGTTACGCTACGAACACATTCAAATATCGAAAGCATTAATAAAATGAAAAAAAAAATGATTAGCTCAAAGATCAGCAATCAAAACCCGAGTATAACTCTATAGCGTTGATTTTTTCTCTTATTGATACACACACTGATCAATGATTCTGATTTTTTTTCAGTTGTTCCTGTGACGAGTCTTATGTGTTTCAGTTGTCAGAGTAGTCAACCTTTCTCGGAATGTGAATCCAACATCAAGGAACTTAATAAAGGTGCTCTCTCGAAATACGCGGTCAATTGTTCCGATTACAACAATTTGAGCTATAATTACTGTGCCATCGAATCTTACATACAAAATGGTAAGTACAAGAAACAAATAATTATTTGTGGGCATACAACGGCTCCCTCTCGTACCTTTTCACCGACTGGACAAATCACCCCAATGTTGTGCCTCTATTCTCGTTCGCGTCGGTGTGCACAGAAACTAGAAAAGGCTCATTGCCCTTTCACAAAGGGAAGCGAAATATGAAATTAACGCCAAAGTGAGACATTAAAACGGATATCTTGTTTTCAATATATTCAGCTACGAATTAAGGGATTCATTTGCATGGTTTGAGGAATAGGTAGATGGCACCTGGTACAACTTTTACTACTTATGTCATGACAGACTAACGGATTAACTTTTCCTTTCAACTGTCCGCTTCTGACCATTTCTCGTAACTCACTCACAGATGTCTTGAAACCACTAACAGATGATATCCGAATTTTCTGAAGGGCAGCCTATACCCTGCCAAAAGGCTGTATCTGCAATACCTTCAGTTCTGTAACTGTTTATATAAGCCTGCATCCGGAACTTTATAACTCACGGCCAAGTGAAAGTTTCCATCGAATTTTTTAATTTATTTATGTATTTGTTTTTCGCTTACGGACAAATGGGTTGCCAATTTGAAAATCCTACTTCCTAGACTTTACTGCTAGTCATAAAATACAGAAACTTAAAACTTAGATAAAATCATTTACGGTCCATTTCTATGTGGGTGTCTTTATCCAGTTTTGTAGGTGATCCAGAGTGTTAATTTTTTCCCCCTCTCTATCTCTCTCCTTCTCTTTTTTTTTACATCTTCCTTCTTTCTTCCATCGTTCTTCTTTTTTCTTCTTTTCTTTCTTCTTTTCTTTCTTTGTTTCTTCCTCTCTTTCTTCTTTTTTACTTTCTTTCTTCTTACTGGCTCTACCAATCATTTCATAATATACAAGTACGGACGGTTACAAATAAGCGGCGTGCCTAGCTTCTATGCTGCCCAGGGCGGTCGTAGCATTGACCTCTTCTCGAAAGATCCCCCAAACCTGACGGCATATACAAAATTTAAATAATTTCGATGTCACCCTCAGCCGCATCAAAACCCCCCACCAACCAAAAAAAACCTGGCGAAACAAAATGCGATTGAAAAAAAAAACATTCTAAAATAAGTAGAAAACAAACTTCTTTTTAGTTAACAATTTTTAGGACAAAATATTGCATTAACAATATATGCACAAATAAAATCCCCTAAGAAAATCTGACTCAGTGTAACATTAATAGTAAATGTATTACTTAGCCATAACCCTAATACTAAATGTATTATTTGACCATAACGCTAATACTAAATGTATTACTTATCCATAACCCTAATTCTAAATGTATTACTTAGCCATAACCCTAATACTAAATGTATTATTTGACCATAACTCTAATACTAAATGTATTACTTATCCATAGCCCTAATACTAAATGTATTACTTAGCCATAACCCTAATACTAAATGTATTATTTGGCCATAACCCTAATACTGAATGTATTACTTATCCATAGCCCTAATACTAAATGTATTACTTGTCCATAGCCCTAATACTAAATGTATTATTTGACCATAACCCTAATACTAAATGTATTACTTATCCATAACCATAGCCCTAATAACAAAAGTATTACTTGCCCATAGCCCTCACATTAAATTATTACTTAATCATAACCCTCACCGTCAATGTAATACTTAGCCATACCCCTAAAAGCAAATGTATTCCTTAACCATAACCCTAATAGTAAATGTATTACTTAACCCTAAATTGAACTTATTTAACAAAAATGGCTAAGACTCACCCCACTTTCATAGAAAAAGAATTCTCATCTTCAGCAATTTGGTAAATATGTCTTCTCAGTGTCTTTCCAAAGCTCTGTGTCTTGTGCTAACTCACAAAATGGCTGCAGCTTTTCGAAGTCCTTCAACGTTTTCACGGGCAATTTTTTGTTCCATGTGTATACTGTGGATGTTCGAGCATCCATTACACTTAATATTAATTTTCTTTTATGTACTTTAAGATTCATTTGCCTCCATATGAATGCTTTCAGATTCCTTCCTATTTGCTTTGAGACGCAAAACTTGTATTCTGTCTGCGACTTTCCAATGGATATCATTCTTACATACGGTATTGATTACAAAAACCATTCCCAATAATATTTACTTTCTCTTTCTAAAGCGATTAAATATGGTAATTATATTTTATCGGTCGTTCCCAAATCTCCGTGTCTTATGTTAACTCACGGAAGGGCTGCAGATTTTCGAAGCTCTTCAACATTTTACGATGTTCATTTTTAATATTAATTTTTCGGTTCACGAATTTAATTCGTTCCTGAAGGCCGTTCGTAACCCGAAATGTTCGTAAACCGAAACTATTTTCCCAATAGGAATCAATGTAGAGAAGAAAAAGTCACAGTACAATAAGATTGAAAAAGAAAAGCACTGCATAACACACGAATACATACAACACAGCGGTCGACTCAGAAATGATTCTGTTCGGATTAACTCGCTTCAGCTATGTTATTCGAGAACCGAAATTTTAATCTCGAACTTTCTGTTTGAAAACCGATTTGTTTGATATGTGAGGCGTTCAAGAACCGAGGTTTTTCTGAAGTTCCTTCTTGCCTGCCGATGTCGGCCGTTGTTCAATGTGTATACTATGGTTGTTCGAGTATTTATTTCGTTTAATATTAATTTTCTTCTATGTACCTTAAGGTGTATAACTTCAGATTTATTCCTGTTTTTTATTGTGTCCGCTTATCAGTCCCCTCCAAACTTCTCTGTCCTTTGCTAATTCACGAAAGTCCCAAGTCTCTTTGAAGATTGGGAATTTATGGGGTTTTATTGATTTTCTTTCAATATCATTGTTCTACGAGCATATTTCGCACGTGGCTGAATGGTTAGAACGTCCGCATTTTGACATTAAGACCCGGGTTCGAATCTCACCATGGTCTATTTTTTCAGGAAGAAGACAGCCTGATGTTATCGAGGGGTAGATTTCAGCGTGCGGCACCTTTGAGCCTTGTGAGTGAAATTGGATAGACAGAACCCTTGGGGGTCTGCAATAGCTGCGCTAAGTCATCGTGGCCTTGAAGAAGGTGCTGGCATTGTTCAAATGGTTGTTCTCTTTCCCAGAAACTGTAACTAAGGTCTGCTCAGCATAGTTACAATATAAACCACAAGTGAGCTCTGTGGGTGTTGAATAAACACAAATGTGCCTGAGCAAGCATCTGCAATAGGGATTGGCTAGCCGTCCTAGTAGATGGGAATCCTCAAATACGTGTGGCCTGCTATGCATACTTTGCATGTTCGTCCAGTGTCTATGGATCTTATTCTTTTTAAATAAATTCAACTCAAGCAAGGCGATAATGTCACTAAACGTAAGGGCGCTACTGGTAGTGAAAGAGAATGAAAAAGCTTTAGAAGGAGCCGGAAACCCAATCCTAAACAGGAAACATGGGATAAACTAAATCAGTCTGTACGAAAGAGAAGGGATTCAATTGGGATGTTTTTAGTTGGAGTTTCTTTCAAACTGTGAAAACAAAATGCTTTCAATGTACTACTTTTCCTTCCGTGGCGAAGGAATAAATTTATGAATATCAAACAGAAAAATTTGGTGTTTCATTTTTTTTTTTTAAAGTCATCTTAATTATCAGGTTTACTAAAGTGTATTAAATGTTGGCAATATTTCTCAGAAGAAAATCGTAGAAAGCTCTCAATTTGTATTTAAATCAACAAATATTGCTCTGCTTATTGAGAAATACTATTTTTGCAATAATAATCAGCGCCTAAGTCTTTAAAAATAACATGATTGAATATATCAAGACCAACAGGTTTTTTTATCAAATCATTTAATAAACTAACAGCAGAAATAAAACTTTCGTGAACATAAGGACGAAGGTAAACATTTTCTCTTTCCTAATTGTCATTTTCAATGTTATTTAAGTTCCTTTTGATACTCCAGCAGTATCATGTACAATGGAATAGGTGCATTCAATTGGGATGTCTTTAGTTGGAGTTTCTTTCCAACTGTGAAAACAAAATGCTCCCAATGTGCTTGGTTTCCTTCCGTAGTGAAGGGATAAAAGTGATTGGATAAATTTATGAATATCAAACAGAAGATTTTAGGGTTTCATTTTTTTGATGTCACCTTAATTATCAGGTTTACTAAAGTGTATTACTGATAAAGTTTATCAGTTAATTTGAATTTTGTCGAGAAATTGAAAAAAAATCGGTATTTCTATGTTAAAATTTTTGACTCAAAAACAATTTTTCTTATGAAAATAGTTTATTTCAGGTGGCTGACATAAATTACACGGCCTACCTGAAAATTGATGGGTTTCTACGACATTTATTAACTAAATTTTGCAATCAGCCAAGATCGTATATTGATCTTTTCCTCCAAAATGAGCAATTTCAGTGCAGCAAAAATGGTAGTTAACCATGAAAAACTAAGGTCATTTTCAGAACCAGCACTATCAAATTAGCTAAAAAATGTTTTGCTTCTTAGCACCAAAAATAGTTTCTTAAAATATTGGATCTTCAGTAGTGTCAAACTTTGTGTCCTAATGTCAGGATTATAAGTACGATTCCAACTCCAAATTCTTACCAATTTTGCTATCGTCAACATATCAGCTGCTCGTCTCACAGAGAAGGATTATCTACCAGTTGATAGGAATATATGAAAATTTTGAGTAGGCGTCAGATTTTTCAGATCTTAGAGAGAAAATTAAAAAAATAAAACCACGTACCAAAGAAGACAAAAACAAAACAGTCGCTTTTGCTCTCCTCAAAAGTACTTTTTTTCCCAATCTTATCTGATTCTGTCCGTATCTTCGTTGTAAACCAATACACCACACATTCCTCCTCTTTTGGGCCAGCTGAGATGGATGGGAGCTGGGATGCACAAGGCTAAATGCTGATATGTTCAAACGAGGTCATTCTAATTGTCCCGGTATTGCGACCGATTAACGCTTTAGCCTTCTTTCTATCATAACTTTCGAGACAAAATATTATCACTATATATAGGGTGTATTAAAAATACTTTTACAAACTTTGGGAGCGGGTTCTTCACACTAAACAAGGACAAAGGTAGAGATAAAAGTGTTGGAATTAATTTATGAATATATAACAGAAGAATTTAGTTTTTCATTTTTTTTATGTCACCTTAATTATCAGCTTTACTAAAATTTGTCAGTTAATTTGAATTTTAGCGTTAAATTGGAGAACTTCCGTAGATCTATTTTAAAATTTTTGTCTCAAAAATTTTTTTCCTTATAAAAATAGTTTATTTCAGGTGGCTGACATAAATTGATCGGACAATCAGAATATTAATGGGATTCTACGATCAGCCTAGATCATAAATTGATCTTTTTTTCAAAAATGAGCAATTTCAGTACAGCAAAAACGTTAGCTAACCATGAAAAACTAAGTTCATTTTCGGAATCAGCACCATCAAATTAACTGAAAAACGTGCTTTGTTTCTTGGCACCAAAAATCGTGGTGACCAGTGTAATTAGTTGATTGCTACGTGCATGAAAGTAGTATCACATGAAAGTAGTACTCACAATTACTATGCCACCAAACTCATGAACCAATACTAGGTTACTAACATTGTTTTTTTTTGTTCGTTTGTTTTTTTTGTTCGTTTGTTTTTTTTTTGTTTTTTGTTTTTTACGGTTTATCAACCCTTTGTGTGTCATTTAAAGCCAAAACATTTTGGATTGTAAAAATATTTTTTTCTTTTTTTGTAAGTGAATATTGCCTTCATTTTTTGAGCATTTTTCCAAATATTGAGGATTTTTCCAAATATATTTTTTGAGGATTTTTCCAAATATATTTTTTGAGGATTTTTCCAAATATATTTTTTGAGGATTTTTCCAAATATTGAGGATTTTTCCAGATATATTTATTGAGGATTTTTCCAAATATTGAGGATTTTTCCAAATATAAATTCTAATATTTAACCCATAGGTTGAGATAGATTCACATTCTTTCCAAAGGTATTTGTGCGTAAGTAAATGTAATAAAGCCAACTCGAATTCGAACCCGGCTATCTGATTTCACTTTACACCAGCCGCTCTCCCACCTGACTAATGAAAATAACATTAGCATTATTAACCTCTACTGCTGTTCAAAAGACCGGGGAGGAGTGTGATATTATTATAATACCCAGATGTCCTCAAGGACACATGGCACAGTAGATATAGGCGTTGGTTAGATCCAGTGACAGGACCTAAAGAGTGTGAGTTCAATACCCGGTTAAGGCAGTGGAGAACTTGGAGAGGGAAATAAGGGGATAACTGATAACTGACATCCATCAAACATGGCCCGTGGAACTAGAACAGTCTACCCCAGTGAGCGAAATAAAGGGTTCAGTTCGAAATTCCAACCACCTGATAACACCATGCATTTAAGGCCAAGTAACAGTTTCTCATATCACAGATAGGCAAATCTATCTACTCTTATTAAAGAAAATAATGTAAAATTGTAAATAAAAGTTCAGAGTTTTAAGTGGAGATGTTAGAAGTACAGAGCTGAAATAGACTTTAGAAGGAACCGGAAACCCAGTCCTAAACAAGAAAACAGGGAATAAACCTCTATTCCGTTTCAAAATGCCGGAGAGGTGTGTGAACCGGCCTATGTACTCTTGTTGAAGGAAAAAAGAAATAAATACATAATAAAATTTCAGAATTTAAATGGAGACTTTAGACGTCCGGAGTTGAAGTAAACTTTAAAAGGAACTAGAAATGCAATCCTAAACAGGAAACCTCTAACCCTGTTCAAAAGAACGAGGAGGAGAGTGAACCGGACTATAGATTTGTTACTGATAACAAAAACGTTTCCATAACATTTACAGACAGTTTCCAAAGATATTGTACTGTTTAACTCCGATATTAGTATAAGGTTCTTTTCTTTTATTTTTTTCTTTGACTTTTGACTGTAAAGATAATTAATGACTTCCCCGGTTGTCAACCCTTAAAAGTTGGGACCTTTTTATTTAAAACTTCATAACTGCCACCAATCACATATAAACATTTTAGCATCGAGACGTTTAATGTTAAAGGACCAATGAAAACAAAAAAGCAGGAATTATTGGGCCAGGAACTTAGTTATAACTGGCAGGGGTGGATTTCTGTTAAAAGAGGGGCAGGGTAAAAATCTCAATTCGAAATTTTTAATTCTATGATCACATATATTAGGTTACAGAAATGAACAGAGAGTGTTTATATAATACAAAGGTCTTCTACTCGAATCGAGCTCTCCTAGTTACTGACGTCTTTCGCTTAGTATCATACTTATTATAAAACCCAGGTTGTGTGTGTGTGTGTGTGTGTCTGTACGTTTATATATTGGATCGGGTTTCCTACATTTTTCAACCGATTTCAACAAAACTTCACGGGACTACGTAAAATTACCTTGCGATGGTTCTGACAGCACCAAAAATTGGAAAAACAATTTGTTTTAGCACAAAATCAATTTGAAAATACGATTAAGAGGCATCGCGAGAATGAAAGGGGGACAACTCATATCGAGTTATACTTATTATGAAACCCATGTTGTTTGTGTGTGTGTATGTCTGTTCGTTTGTATATTGGATCGGATTTCCTACATTTTTCAACCGATTTCAACAAAACTTCACTTTTTTTTGGCAGCTAGTGTTTCTTATTGTCTTGCACACTTTTTTCTTTATTTTTACATTCAGAATGCTTTAAAAATTCCATTTACAAGACAATTGTTTATAATAAAATTCTATTCAATCGGTAGACTCGTAACGATTGGAAACAATGTTTTTGTTTGAGTTTGGGTTTGACCAATTCGTAAAAAAAAAAAAAAAAAACTAAATAAGACATGCGTGTCCGTCAATATTCTTGGTCAATTTTATTTTTCAGTCTTTATGATGGTCGATACTTGATCTATCTCTTACTGTTACATCCCCGGGCTCTACTGCTAGTAAACGTTAAAATTTCCCTTCCGCTGTGCCGGGGTTAGAATCTCTGACTGATGCCAAATCGGTTTCGATCCCGGCTTGAAGCGATCGGATGTCTAGCCACACTGATGAACCGTGATACACTCTGTCTGTGGATGACTATGCTCTCGAAATAATTCGATTGAACTCTCGGAGAGGAAGGGCTGATTTTATAAACAGTGATTACTGCTGCTAATACAATGCTCTTCTAATGGAATAACTCTGCTAGATACTGATGTCTTTCGCTTAGTGACGATAGCTTGGAGGTAGAGTCTCTGACTGAAGTCAAATCGGTTTTGTTTCGATCCCGGCTTGAAGCAATCTAGCCACACTGATGAGCTGTGATACAGCAGAACAGTCTGTCCGTGGATGACTATATATATATATATATATATATATATATATATATATATCTTTCCGGCTTACAAGACGCACCCTAATACTGGAAAGAAATTTCTAAGAAAAAACTCATTCTAATACAACATATTCACCATGCGTCCCTCACATACTGACGCAACGTATTGTTTACATTAATCACTCGTCCGATTTTGTTTGTATGGCAATGACATACTAGTCCGGAACAGAAAGGCTCCTGCCTCTGTTAGTAAACAGAGCATGTTTAAGCTTGTGGCTCGGCTCCAGGAAGGTTTATAGTCTTGGAAATACTTGCAACAACCAAATACTGAGTTTATATCATAGAAAAGGCTGAATTAGATAGATAGCTAATATTATAGTGTAATGACTCAACATACAAATCCACGTCCCTACCAGTCAAGCCGATTAGGTGACCACCCAAGCTTACTTGAGCCTGGGCGTTGCCTTAGATTCGTCTTGGAAGACACACACACACACACACACACATATATATATATATATATATATATATATATATATATATATATACATATATATATATATATATATATATATATATATATATATATATATTTAACAGGACGAATTTTTTTCCTAAAAATATACGTGTGTGTCTCTCAAATGTAACGCAAAGGCTCAAACAAGCTTGGATGGTCACCTAAGTGGCTTGATATATATATATATATATATATATATATATATATATGTCATTTGCAGACAATACTGTTTCGCTGAATCACAGCTCCTCAGTGCGACTAGACAACCGAATGCCTCAAGCCCGGATCGAAAGCCAAACCCCCGAGCCATCTTCACTCGGCAGAATGAGTCAGCCAAATCTAGCGTATTGTTTTTACAAACGCCAAGCAGCCATAATTCTCCATTCATTTTACTGAAAAGCTTCATATATATATATATATATATATATATATATATATATATATATATATATATATATATATATATATATATATATATTGCTCTCTTATTTATTTGATATGTAAAATTATAAATTCAATGTTTTAGTTTCATAGTGTGCTTATATAGCTTTTATGAAAGGTTTTTCCTAAAGTCAGTTTTCTTGGATTCTTATTTGCTTAGAAGTTCCCGATTTTATTATTGTTTAATTGAACCTCTTTGTGAACTTAGAAAAGAACAAGGGAATTAAATCTGTCTTCACTCATAATAGCTTACCTTATCTATTTCGGAACAAAAAAATATTTTCTCAAAAAGTTTGGGGGAGGGCATCCTATACGCCCCTGATGGTGATGGACTCATGTCAGGTGTGAAAAGAGGTCACATGTTCAAAAGCCAATTTTTGAAAAATGCTTCGAAGTTCTATTTTCAAAGTAGCTATACCCATCGATGCAGGACTTTATGACCCCGCCTTTCACAAAAGCACAATTTTGTAGCAATCATTATCGTAAAGTCCTCTGTTTTTTTTTTTTCTCCTTCGCAGGCAAGGTAAACGCTATGATAAGAGACTGTAACGATGGCAGCTTCTCGTTTTCGGAGGACAACTACCCGTATATCAAAATGAAGCAACTGAACTGGAATTCCAATATAACTGTGTGTACCTACTCCCGTGGTCGGGTGGCGTGTGCTTCACTTTGCGATTCGGATATGTGCAATGGACCGACCTCGGATGCCGACATTTCCAGCCTTTCCTACTGGATAATCCTGTCTTTATTTGTTCTGGAACTTTTTTTCTGATTGCGCGATTGGCTGTCCCGATAGACAAAAGGGTATGGCTTTAGTACAGAACAGACTGAACACTTCTCGTGCTTTCTCGTATATACGTCGAAGGACCGGACAAATCGGCTGCATACTTACTTGTGCTCTCTCTCTCTCTCTCTCTCTCTCTCTCTCTCTCTCTCTCTCTCTCTCTCAAATACACATAAATTCTCTTTCTCAAACACAAACGGCGGATGTGCATGAGGTTTAATGAATAACGGCTCGAAATCGGATAACGGGGTTCGAATTTCAGTCAGGTTCGTTATTTTCACTTACACGCAAATACCCTTGGTCAAAGTATGAGTCTAAAGCTCCCCCAGTTATGGGTTAAATAGTTTGGTGTGCATCTACAAAAATCAGAAGGGTATGGCTTTAGTACAGAACTGTTTGAACATTCCTCGTGCTTTCTCGTATATACGTCGATGGACGGGACAAATTTACTGCATACGTTCTTGTTCTCTCTCTCTGTCTCTGTCTCTCTCTCTCTCTCTATCTATCTCTCTCTCTCAAATACACATAAATTCTCTTTCTCAAACACAAACGGCGGATGTTCACGAGGTTTAATGAATAACGGCTCGAAATCGGATAACGGGGTTCGAATTTCAGTCAGGTTCGGTATTTTCACTTACACGCAAATACATTTCCCCTAGCTATGGGTTAAATAGTATGGTGTGTATCTACAAAAGTCATTTTTTCTCGGCAAGATTGTTAACGCATTATTTATTCACAAAAAAAAAGGAATTATTCTAAGAATTCAAAATATGTTTTAGGTTATTTATAACCCACAAAGGGTTGATAACCCGTAAAAACAATTTAATCATTCAATCTCAAACAACTAAACTCTCTCTCACTTTCAAATACAGACATGTAAATTCTCTTTCAAACGAACATACAGACATTTCTTCTCTCTCTCACTCACACACTTGCACATACTTTCTTTGTCTAAAATACGTTCACTTTGTCTCTCTCTCTCATGCACTTAACCTTAATGCACATATACATGTTCTTTCTGTGTCCCTCTCTCTCTCTCTCTCTCTCTATCTCTCTCTCTCTCTCTCTCTCTCTATATATATATATATATATATATATTACGTTAATAAAACACCAATTAAAATAAAATATTTTTATTACGTAAATAAAACACCGGTTAAAATTAAAATAAATAAATATATAAGATAAGGAATAAAAATAAAAAATAAAAAATAAAAATAAATAAAAACAAGCAAAATAATCTAACCCAAATAAATAAATAAATAAACAAATAAACGACTTCCGGCAAAATAACCGCCAAATAGACTACCCAGAATGCACCACTGACCCGTATATATAAATAACCGAGAGAGAGAGAAAAAAAACAGCACTCGTGGCCTGACGATTGCTTCTAGCATGAAACAGACTGTCGCCTGTCAGTGTTGACTTCTATGCTTACTTTTATATAACTCATATGTCATTAAATAATACTACACCACGAAAATAATAAACGAAAACCTTCAAAATCTCAAGGACTTCTATTATCAAAAGCATCTAACTAACACTGAACAAAATTTATTACGAGTGTAGCAGCAGCATGTTGAAGTGCATATAGCAAACATTTAATGCTATTTTGCATGCAACCAATTTCCGGCCATCTGCCTCATATTGGGACGCTTATTTTGCGGAGGTTTCATAGCTACTACGGATAATTTTAAATTTTCAAGTAATTGCAGTAGAGTGCTCGGCCACAAAGAGCCTCATAGCCTAGCAAAGTTCTACTTTTTCTTTTAAGGAATAAACACTCCCTTGTTCAGATTTTCTTTCTTTTGTTTCGAGATGTACTTTAGAACATATATGGGCATTAGAGTCCATATACAGGCTGTCCATAAAGTTCGTGTGCACTTTAAAAAAATTATAACTTTATTTGTATTTGCGATAGAAATAATCTGTAAAAAATGTTAAAAAGTTTAATGTACCTAGTTTTAAGTATAGCTAAAATAACTAATGTGATTTCAGGCACTAATCTAAATCACTTCGGAAATGTTTTCCGTGAACTGCAAAATCGTATTACCCTTTGTATTGCTAATGATGGAGGACATGTGGAAACTTAAATAAAATTTCGATAGAACCTTAAAAAAATATAGATTTACTTCTTTCTAATCCTTTTTACAGATTATTTCTATCGCAAATACAAATAAAATTATAAATGTTTTAAAGTGCACACGAACTTTATGGACACCCTGTATATTCTAAAGCAGTCTAAAGCACATCGTATCAAAGGATAGTTTCTTCTATAAAGGGAGGCCTGTTTATTAAGTGTCCTTGAAAGCGCAGACCGGTACTGTTTAAAATAAAAATAAAAAACGGAGCGTCTTTTTCAAACGTGGGTATCCACTAAAAAATAACGTTTATAAAAAAAACGTGTTGACGTATATCGTCGAATACGAATGGTCAGCTATTATATATACTAGCCGAGGTACCCGGCGTTGTCAGGATGTACACGGCTGCAATTGTATATCCATACTCCATGTATACTCGCACCCCGCCCCTGTCTAGAAATGTCTGCCTGTATCCCCGCTTGCATACATCATCTATTGGTATACTAATCTACTCACCTCCTCATCTTTTTACGGTATGCCCTTCGCAAGTGTTACATTGTACTATTCTATCGATAAAAACCTTCTTGTGTGATCGTTACTCGGGGTTAAATTGTTTCAATGTTTTAGATATTCAGTAAATTTCCTATGCCCAACGTTTCAGTAGTATGGCATTGTTCATAAATCTAATAATCAAACAAAAACAGGGTGAAGCGTCAGTGCTTGATTCAACTGCAAATCTGAGGGCGCAAGTATACAGAGGGCTTCACTACAGTAATAATTAGCTACGTGACCAATTGTTAATTTTTACACCAAGGCGCGAAGTCTAAAGTCTAAAAATGGTTATGAATACATCACAGGAAAACGAATTGGAAATTCCTATCTAAAAATATGATTGTTCGAGATAATTTCTATGGTTGGACATAATCTCTGTAGTTTGAGATAACTCTATGGTCTGACATAATCTCTATTGTTTGAGATAAACGTTTAGTATTTACGAGTGAGTCATTTTTGAGTAACGGTTAACTGTTTCGTGTCATGAAATCAGTTATGCTGTTATTTATATTGGGCATGCTTAACTTAGACTGACACAAGGCTATGGGCGCGGCATACCTGGTGGGGATTGAACTCACTTATTAGAAATTATAAGATCATTTCAATATGAAAATTTTTAATAGAAATAAAAAAATTAAAATTTAAAGGAACAATAAAGATGTCTCCATATATTTTTTAAAATGATGTTCACCCTGTACAAGGCTCGGGAGCCACTTTTGAAAAATTCTTTTATAGTACCGCTTGACGTTTAGTCATAAGAACAAGTCCTAGGCAAATGTAAATCATCAATTCTTTTTGTCAAACAGAACCCCCACTTACCGAAAATGTTCTTTGAATCGTGAAATAAAAATGCAATAAAACTAAAAAATTATTTAATCAGAAAGACTTTTAATTGTTTTTTTTTATGAATACATTGACACTGTTGTCTTAAGAAAAAACTTTTTTCGATAAATAATATTTTCAAGAATGGTTTTCATTTTTTAAAAAAAAAGTTTTAAATGTTTTAAAATTCTATATTAATTTGAATATTATTAAGTCAGTGAAGTGCCGAGGTTTGGTGATGCCTGGGGCCAACTTGATTGCATGCCTCTAAGACTTACGTAGGAGGGGTGCTATGGGGCCTAGTACTGAAAAATGTGAGAAAGATAGGCATTTTAAATATGTAAAAACAGATGAAATATGAAATAAACACTTTATTCAAATTCAGTTTTTATTTCACTCTTTGAGTGGATGCCCTCCCGATATGAATGGCCGAAGGCGGGGTTCGTACTCTATGCCCAACCCCACTTCTACACACTACCGTATTAAGTAAAAACTACTATATTTACTAATCATAAATGGAAAAGCTTACTACAATTCAGCAAGTACAAGTACTCTAAAAAGAATTTTAATTTTTTTCTGTGCGTATAAACGTGACGATTTTTGTAAATACGGGCGACCATACACGACATTATCAGAAAATAAGAGCGGGAACTATAGAAAATTTAAAATTGATTGATAATCTTATGACATTTCCTCAACAAATTTCTTCTTAAGTAATTTTCTAAAGCCAATTTACTTAAAATTCAATAAAATATTAGAATGTTTAAAATATTAACTTTTTAAAAGATTACTGGGTAGAAGTAGTTAAAATAATTATAAAAGAAGTTTACGTTGCATTCGTCATGTAATTTTACAATTATTTCCCCCTTGCATAAATCTCGAAAAAAAATCAGGTTATCGATAGATGTGTCAGCACCTGAAAAACACCCACCTCCATGTTAAAATATATATATATATATGATATTTTAAAGTAAAAGTAATATTTGTTTTAATTCAGATTGATTAAACATTAAATCAGTTAGTCTTCGTCAAATAAAGTTTCAAAAAAATATATTTTATTTTTGAAATTTTTTTATTAAAGAGTATTATGTTGTGTTGACATATTTTTCAATATAGCCGATTTTAGCGATTTAAAAAAAATAATTACAACCAACTTAAATTAGGTTTGAAATACAGTAAAGTACTTTGCTTATTGGAAATATTAAATTTAATCTATTAGCTTGACATTAAAACTAAAATAAAAGTGTCAAGAAAGATTTTTCATTTCTAAAAATTCAATTTAAACCTTTGGTATCACTTTGTTTCTAGAGGTACCTATATATATATATATATATATATATATATATATATATATATATATATATATATATATATATATATATGTGTGTGTGTGTGTTTAAGTATTTGTTAGAGTCATGTCCCCCTTGTAAAAATTCAGAAAATAATTTTTATCGCAAGAGTTGTCAACGCAGAAAACACCCACCTCCTATTAAAGCATGTTCTTCTGAGATATTTTAAACTAAAATTAAATAATATTTCTCATCTAATCTTCCTCAAATAATGTTTCAGAAACGCATATTAGATTTTTTCAAAGATTTTTAAAGGTTAGAATATTGAATTCAATCCAGATTTGTCAACATGGATGATTTTAGCATTTTTACTTATAAGAAACTCATTCCAATCAATTTAAATTAGTTTTGAAATACAGCAAATTATTTTGCTTATTGGAACTATCAAATTCAATCAGCTTTTTCTTACGCATTTCACCGAAAGCAAGGCGGGATGGCCACTAGCACGCAAGGGATTACAGAGGATTGGGAGCAAGAGTAAAGAGGCATGTTTGAGGAAAGGATACAGAGAAAGACAGAGCACAAGATCAAGGTATTGGAAGATATCAATTGACATTATACTTGAATATTTGAAGATTATAGTCATCAGGGAAGCAAGTAAGGGGAAGGGAGTTTCACAGACGGGAAGTGCAAGAGAAGAAGTTGTTTGAGTAGAAGAGACGGTTACATTTAACCGTTTTGACAATGAAAGGGTGGGACCGAGATGCCAATCTGGTAGCATGTTTAAATTCATTCAGTCCGGGAACCAGCGAAAGTAGCTCGT